ACCTTGACTGATTTTTGTGTTCGTTATACAGCACTTATAGAAAGGTAAAGACTATATTGTTTCTAATGTTTGCCAACGCATGGTGTGCAGCTACATTCCGAAACTAACAAAGTCTTTGCGGGATAGCTGCGAGGTTGTTCGAAGGCAAACGTTTGTACTTCTGGCTAGATTACTTCAGGTTTGTGTGTTATCTGAGTTATCACCTTTAACCGTGCTATGCTAACAGCGGGACTACGTCAAATGGAGGGGATTGCTGTTTCATAGATTTCTTCTTGCATTAGTTGACGAGTCTCCCAAAATATGTCAAATTGCTGACTTCCTGTTCGGAAACATTCTCAAAAGTAAGATCCGTTTGTTGCAGTCTTTATTTTGATTTCTATGATGGTTTGCAGCGAAGGCCCCATTGCTGGCATACAACAGCTTCGTTGAGGCTATTTTTGTTCTCAACGATTACCAAGGACAGTCTAGTGGTAGTAGTGCTCTTCAGTCCTCAGAAAGCGAGCGCGATCTTTTCTCTCTCAGGTAATCACAATATTCTTTTATACCTTTCTCATGTTCGGTCTGCTTACAGAGGAAGCACTCAAGCTGTGGTTTCAAAGAGAATGTACATGTATACAACGCTATTAAAGCAAATGAGTCCCGAGCATCTTCTTGCGACCTCGGCAAAGCTATGTGCAGAAGTTTTAGCTGGTGCCGCTGATGGTGTGATTGACATCTCTACAATTTCTGGAAAATGCGTTGTTGAGGTGCGTTAGTGCGCTAGCAGTTTCCTTACACTAAGGTGCTTCTCATGGTTTACAGGATGCCCTGAAAATATTAGCATTAAAAGAAATGAGGCTCGGAGGTAACAAAGCATCCTCTAATGTGGCAGAACAAGCTGACGAAGAGGAGAATGCTGCTACTTTTGCTGCTGTGAAGGGCAAGGTTGTTACCCAGCTTGCCAAAAGAAATCTCGTTCAAAATGCGATTCCTATCTTTATAGAGCTGAAGCGGTAAGCTAGCCTATTCAAGGGATTCCTTCTTATTACATGTTTGTGTACTGTGCAGTCTACTTGAAAAAAGCAGCAGTCCACTCCTGGGTGCACTAATGGACTGTATGCGCTCAATGCTCAAAGATTTTAAGAACGAAATCGAGGAAATGTTGGTGGCAGACAAGCAGCTTTTGAAGGAGCTCATCTATGATATGCAGAAGCACGAGGCCGCTAAAGCGCGCGCTAAGGCTGCAGCAGCTGTACAACCAGAGCCGCAAAAGCAACAATTTGGGGGTACAGCCGCTGGCAAGCCACACGAAGAAGCTGCCAGGCCGCCTGTTCTTTCCGCCTTGAAAAAGACGCCAGCAGGGAGAGCTCGAGTGACTTGGCTAGACCAAACACCTCAACTTAGGGGGCTCTCATCAGCAGGTTTTATTTCACCTGGAGCTCTCAGGAGTCGCGGTGGCATTGCTGCTGTAGTCTCTCCTCAAATTCTAGTTGGTGCCGTCGGGGACATCGCTGCTGCTGCCACCGCGGCCTCCGTCCTACAAGACGCTGCAACTGGAAAGTCTACACCTCTCCGAGCAATGTCGTTGCCAAGGCTACGTACTGCTGGAAACAGATGGCAAGGTGGGACTGCGATTTGCATGCATGCAAGTCCCATGCAACTGCCGGTTGATCAACTATAAAACGTCGTCCTCGTCCCGCAGCTCTCCTCACCAGGCAGGCAAGTTTCCAAGTTCTCGTCTTTTCTTCCTCACCAAGCCGAGAGTTTTTTGTTTTTCTCCTTAGGAGAATGGCCGGCAGTGCGAAGCTTTTGGGCGTGGCAGCGCTGCTGCTGCTGGTGCTCGTCGCGGTGGCGGACGCGAGGAGGCAGTCCCCGGCGTCGAGGCGGTGCCGGGAGCTGGCACAGCAGCTTCAGAAATGCGAGAGCATCACTCCTCTCCCGCAGGAGTGCTGCAGCATGGCCGACGAATACCGTCGCAAGTGCCGCAGCAGCTCTCGCGGCAGGAGAGCCCGGATTGACGAGGAGATCCTCGACCGCTGCCGCGACGAGCATCGCCGCCGCCAGGACGAGCTCGATGAGGACGACGACTTCTTCGTTGGCGACAGCGATGGTGATGAGGTCCACCACTACAGTTAAGCAAGTTCTCTTATTTTTCTCCTTAATCTTTGTACGAAACTTTGGCGTCTAAATGATTTCTTCCTTGCAGATCAGAGGAGCGGATTTTTCTGAAAAGATGGATCTCGCAGTGAAGAACACAGTAACACCGATAAGTAGTAGAAGAATAACGTGTTACTCTCGCTTTTAATTTAATTAAAACCTTATACAATCACCTTCGCGGTTTTTGTTTGAATCTAGACCGTTGGATTTGGTTGTCGTTACAACTGTAGGGAGTGGAGCTCAGGAACCCTCCAGGATTGTTGGAGGCCGTCGCCATGGACGACTACGTGATGCATATGACGCGCGTGAGCTTGCTGGACCAGCGGCTCGAAGAGAATCCTCTCAATGCCAAGGTAATCGCATCTATAGATCGATCGAATCCACTGGGAAATCTTCGATCAATCAGGTCAAGAAGCTTGTGATCAGCCGGATGATGTACGCTGGGAGAGCGGTCAAGGAGACGGACAAGGAGCGAATGACAAGTAGTCGAATAGATTCTTTTCACTCCAAATATATCTCCTTTCTTTCGCAGATTATCACCAGGAAATGCTCCACAAGATCGCTGGCAAACTCGACAAAGTCTCTGGCTTTCTTCTCATCTATCCGACCTGTTGTCTACATTTGGTCGAGGTAGAGATTTTTCTTTTTTTTTCTCGATTCAAATCTTTGATCCACAGGCCGAGACTGTGATCTTGATGCAACTTCTCAAGAATTTGCATGCTGACACCCGGCACCTCGATTCAGTTTGCCTTCTCTCCTTCACGGAAGATGTGAGGCTCAAGTTCTAGCTATCCTTCTGTAGAAACTTATGGTTTTTCTCTGTTAGAACTGTCCAGGTGCCATACCGTTCTTTCACGAGCTGGATGACGGGGTTTATAAACTCGTCAAACATGGGACCTTACGATCCTCATCCGAAAAACAGCCTACTTACAGCGGTAAGTTGTAGCAAACCATCGGATTCGTGAGAGACGTTGGCGTTTCTCTCCAGGTCTCCGAGCTGAATGTTAATATGCTGAAATGGGGAAGGCAGCTATCGGAAATGGACGAGGTACGCTCCTTTTCTATTTTTCCGATGCTTTTTCTTTGTGGATTGATTTTTTTGGTTTGCTCAGGAACAAAGATTGGTTTCACTCGATTCTGTCCGGACAGCTGCCGAAGAGCTTCTTCCTGATGATGCGGGAGTTATAAGTGGAAGTAAGTAGTAGTTTCCGTTACTTTGGCTAAAATTCCTCGCAGTTATTTTGGCCGAAGATGCTCCCAAGCTCAAGGACGTTCTGGAGCTGTATGATCAACCTCTGGATGACATGATATTTGATGCAGATATCCTTTATTTTTTCTTTCAGTTTTACTACATGCTTTTTCTTGACAGAATCTTCACAGCTTGTATGGCCCAAACCAAAAGCACCATTTTCATTGTCCCCACCTACAATATATTTCACTCCACCTGCATCTCAAGCTGCTTGAATATGTAACTAGCTAAAGCAATAAGTTTATGAATTTTCATTTTTATTTGTATAGGTAAATATTTTGTGTTCTTTATTTATTATTGATATATAATAAAAAAATGTAAATAATTTATAATAAAACTAATTTTACTTTATATTAAATTTAATATCAATGATTGCTATTTTGATGATTTAAATCTTAGTATGGGTTTTTTTAATTAAAGTTATTAAATTTTGTTATTTATTCTTATAACATTATTTTTCTACTAATTTGAGCTGAAAGTTTTATTTTCTAATTTTTATCTCTAAAAAAAATTGATACCAAAAAAGACATCTATATTAAATAATAAATCACTGGAAGAAACTTCAAAATAAATATTTACACAATATCATTTCTCTATCAATATATATTTGTAATTATTATATTACTTATACATCTATATACATGTATTTATAGAAGACAGCTAAGGTCCTTTAGTTGAGGAATCTAAAGGAACATTAAGAGGAGGCATTAGTGGATTTGTAAGCAATGCAATTTGTTCATGATCACTTTGTACAAAGTGCTTTAGCTGCTATACATGCATAATTTCTAGAGGATTTATTAATTGAACGTCGTGTTAAACCTCATAAATTTGCAGTCCAACTTGCCACAACACTCAATATAGTTCCTTCCACTGAGTAAGAAGCCCCTGAAACAAACTATAAAATTGGGAAAATGAACAAACATTAAATCATTCATGTAGTGTATGTAGTTTTCACCCTTTACCCTATAATGATTTATTATATGATAACTACAAACGCTTGGACATATAGGAAGGTAGTAGAGTGGAACTAGACCCTTTATTAGTCCTTAACTCGGCATTCTCTCTGCTGCGATTGCCGAGCTTGTGCTAGTCCGAATTGGAAACCTTGAGGAGGGATTTTGTGCCGAGGGCTGGGTTATTGGTTGCAATGATGTCTACTAGCACCAAGGTACACACTATATTTCTATATCAATTTGATCTGACGAGTGTATCTTTAACTCTCCTAGAAATAGAGGTTACTCTCGAAGAAACAAAGTAGGATATGTGTATGTATTGTGTGAAGACTGTTCTACATACATGTCCGTCAAGATGCACTTGCGGGTACTCTCTTTGTACTTTTGCATGCAAGAATTTTTCAGATTTCAAGCACAAACACTTGCAATTGGGCAATTTTATTTGAAAATGCCCATGTGCTGCCACTACTTCCACCCGGGATGCATCAACTTGTGGCTGGATTCACACACCTCTGTTTTGGCATCATGGAAGATGGAGATATCCATGCTCTTGAAGGAGAGTAACCTTCGTTTCTAGGAGAGTTAAAGATACACTTGTCAGATCAAATTGATCCAGGAGGAGCTAGGGTTTTGTGAGAATGCTTGCGATCTTCGGGAAATCGATGGCGCAAGCACTTGAGCAGCTTAGTGTAGCTTGTGGTGACCATGATGAAGGAGAAGATCAGGAAGCGAGGTGTTGGAGGAGGCAATGGGTTTGTGTTTTTATACAATGGCAGAGATTGTGTCTTACACTGGCTAGTGACAAAAACCTTGGTGGTGTCATAAGTATAAGGATAGAATTTCTAAGTGTTATTAGCGAAACATACTTAACCTGGTAAGGAGTTTAAATCTTGTTGTGTCTTATACTGGCTAGTGACAAAAACCCCTGTAATATTAAACTTGGTACCTTAATATTTACTACACCAAGAAACTCTCACTATCATTACCAAATGTGTTAGTTCCATTTAGTGTTGACCATTGTGAGCACCAATTTAGTGCCACTCCATATTTAGTAAATTTTCGTGATTGTTGGGCCACAAGTGGGACCATAACAACACTATAATTTATTATTGTCCACCTTTGGAGTAATGAAATTGTCAGCCTTTATTAGTCCTTCTTATGCTAGTGAAATTGTCCTAAATATGATGGTGTTGTGACTAGATTTGTTAGCTTCCACTATCTGACTATGTCTTACACTGGCTAGTGACAAAAACCCTAGTGGTGTTATAAGCATAAGGATAGAATTTCTAAGTGTAAGCATGTTTCATTCTTTTCTAAATTTGCTAATCTATAGAATGTGGAAATTGTCTTGAACATGATGGTGTTGCTCTATCAGTTTTGCGGATAACTCTCCAGCTTAGATAGTGTCTTTGTCAAGGTGAATGCTGACATGGGTGGAAGATTAGACTCCACGTCTAGGCAATGTCATGCTGCCCGTAGAAAAAGTTTTCTATGCTCACAATCCTGGAATTGACAAGTAAGTTGGCCCCTTTTTTTTTGTTTTTTTTTTCTAACCATCTATAGAAACCATCTATAGAATGTGGAAATTGTCCTGAACATGATGGTGCTGCACATATATCCCTTATACTTACCTTTACCCTTAAACTTTAGAAATGCTCTAGAATCTTTAATGAACATTCCCCGGCAAAGCATACAAGTACGACCAATCAAAGTCATGGATTCTTGTTTACAGAGAAAGCGACCACCAGCTTTCTCCTTGTTTCTCCCCTGGCACAGCGGTGGCTGGAGCAAACCAAGGATTGCAGCAGCTCAGGTAAGAGGAGGTATCAATCTTAGATGGTCTGCCCGAGGTTTGGTTGAGTGTATAAAGTGAAAACTAAGAGTGAGGGATTTGCAACCCTAAAGAGCAGCAACACCTCCTTGTTTCTCCCCTGGCACAGCAGTGGCTGGAGCAAACCAAGGATTGCAGCAGCTTAGGTGATCTAGTGCCACTTCATATTTAATACATTTTCATGATTGTCTCAGAGACTAACTTCTAGGACAAGGTGAAAGCTTTTGTTGTGGAATGTATTGTTCCCACATTCAATTTTGAGCCACTCCAGCCATTACAGCGGCCATTTGATAGGATCTCCAACTAGATGACTTTACTCTAGATGTGTTTCCCATTAGCTATTTATGAAAAGTGTAAAAATTGATGGCTTTTCAAACTATTGACCACTTAAGTGTCTCTTATTTTATTTTATTTTCCTTTGCAATGAAGTACAATGTGATAGATTGTCGGATGGCTGATAGTTTGTCGGCTGGTCATTGAACGTTATCTCTCAGTGCGCTTGGCGGTTATGTACCGGCAGCTGCAAACAAAATTGGAGCAAGATTCCCATTAACTATTTATGAAAAGTGTCTAGATCTGCTAATCTATAGAATGTGGAAATTGTCTTGAAAATGATGGTGTTTTTGCCTCACCTTTTTCTCCAAGTGGATTTCTTTTGGGCTTTACTTGGGCTCCCAGATTTCCCAACTCGTCAAGAACAACTAGATAAATCAAAAGATCATCTAAATTTCCACATTCCCAATACATCGTTAGCAACAATCCTTCCATGGAGGCAAAAGCCAAATGAGTGTAACACATTTGGACTAAAAGCTTCAACTCGAAAAGTCGAGAGTGGGAGTGGAACTCTTAACGAAGGGCTCGAGGAACAAGCACGAAGCAAGCAATAAGTGAGTCTCAAAAAAAAGGGACATGAGAGGACCAACATATGACACATAGAAGAGTTCAAGATGGAGTTTGAGATGGACTCGAGATGGACTCGAGATGGAGTTCGAGATGGACCCAAGATGGAGTCTGAGATGAAGTCCGAGATGGACCCAAGATGGAGTCCGAGATGGATTCGAGATGGAGTTTGAGATGGAGTTCAAGATGGACCTGAGATGGACCTGAGATGAAGTCCGAGATGGACCCGAGATGGAGTCTGAGATGGACCCGAGATGGAGTCCAAGATGGAGTTCAAGATGGAGTCTAAGATGGAGTTCAAGATGGACCCGAGATGGAGTTCAAGATGGACCCGAGATGGATCTAAGATGGAGTCTGAGATGGACCTGAGATGGAGTCCGAGATGGACCTGAGATGGAGCCCAAGATGGAGTCTGAGATGGACTTAAGATGGAGTTTGGGATGGACCCGAGAC